TAACCCTAACCCTAACCCTAACCCTAACCCTAACCCTAACCCTAACCCTAACCCTAACCCTAACCCTAACCCTAACTTATTACGAACTTCTAGAACTCTTAATAACTTCTCGAGGAGTACTAAAATTAAAATTAAAACTAGAGCTCTTAGTTATTATAATATCCTAATTAATAATTTTAAAAATACCGTTAGTTTATACTTTGCAGGTTATTAATAAAATATTTTTAGTATCCTTAAAAAATTCTTTTAATATAATACGATTTTTTTTAAATACTATTCGTTTTTAAATATAAAGACGCTTTAGTTTAAATAAAAATTTATTTAACTTAGCTTAAGCCTTTTAATAAGCTTTAACTTTTCTTTATAATTTTATAACTCTCTCTTAAAAACGTAACTCCTCTATTTATTTTTTATAATTTAGCTAATTAGATTTTATTATTAAATAATAAATTACGCTAGTTAACTAAGAACTATTAAATAAAATAAAAATATTTAGAAATATAAATAGCGTTAAGAAAAATATCGTATAGAATAATTAAATAATAATTTATTTTATAAATATTAAAATTAAGAAGGACTAAATACCGAACGCCCCGCGAACGATAATTTAAATAAAGTATTATTTTTATACTTTTATTAAAAAAACGAATAATACGTAATAGCTTATAACGAGATACGGCTATTTAAAACTTCGATTTTTTAATTTAACCTAATATTATATTAGTATATTTTTTAATAAATAAGCTTAATAACTTTTTAATTTAAAAACGAGCGACTTATTTATAAGCTTAGAAGATTAGATTTTTAAAAAGAAAAACTAATATTACGATTTAATAAATATAATAAAGCTAGGGGCCGCTTTATAAGACTTATAGCGGCTATTATACTATATATATAAAGGAATAAATTTAAAATAATCCTTTTTAAAATAGAAGAACTATAAATAAGTTACGTAATTATGATTATATAATAAAATAAAAAACGGACGCCTATAAAAAAGTAAGACGGATGATTATATATAAATAAAACGAATAATTATTTAGTAAACGATTAAATAATTATAAATAATAGTATTATAAAAGATACGTTTATAAATAAGACTTATATATAGTATAAACTTAAGCTAGGTTTAAAAATAGATTTTTTATAGTTTTTTTAATAATTAACTTAGTATTAGATCTTATAATTATTTTTAGCTATTTTTACTAAGAACCCTTTTTAATAAAATTATAATTAATTACTAAAACCTTATTTACTTTATAACTTATAAATATAGCTTTAGGGAAGCTATTTATAACTATAATATTATTTATTTAGTTATTGTAGCCTTAACTTTTGTTAATATATTTACTATAACTAGCTGGCCGTAATATAATACGTAATTACCGTAACTAAGTAAGTTACGTTTTATAATAATAAATCTTTTAGCTATAGAATAATAGCTAAAAAAAAAAAGTAATTTATTTATTATATTAAGTAGTTATTATAATAAGGGTATAATAAGTAATAGAAATCTTAAAAAGTAGTAAACTATATTAATTATAATTAAATTAAAATATTATTAAATAAGTAATTATTTTTAATAAGTAATTATTTTTATTATAGCGTTATATTAAATATTAGAATTATTCCTTTTTTTAAGTATAGTAGTAAGTACTATCTAGCCCGTAATTAATTTAACCCGTACCCTATTATAAAATTATTAAGATCTTAATTACTACTTTATAATAATAATTTAAAAGTTAAATAATTATAAAGTTATAAGCGTTATAAGCGAATTAAAATAAATCGATATATCCTATTTTTAGTTAGTTTATTTTAAATAATATTTATTAACTTTACTTTATATAATCTCTATTTACTCTACCCCCCTATTTTTATACCCTATATTTATTTTATTTAGTATTTTTTATTAACTCTATTATAGTTCGTCGTGTTTACTATATTAGGTTTTTTATTAAAATAAAAGTTAGCTTTTTTTAAAAAATTTCTTAAACCTAAACGGATTTTGCCTACTTAATAAGCTATTTTTATAAATTCATAGTTATTACCCTTAGCTTAATGCTTTTAAATAGAAGATATTAATAGAAGGCTTCTTTAGTTTAATACTCGTTAAAATTCCCTTGGCCATCTCCGCTTCATTATCCCTTCTAACAGCCCGGTTATATGTCGCTTCTAGTAACCGTGCTAATAACCTTATTAATCGTGCTCATCCTAGTGTCTTGTTCAGCCAGGAAAACTGATACCTGTTCCACTCCTGCCCAGCTCCAACTTGGACGTGATATCCAGCTGTTCTATTGAAAAACTTGTAAGTTGCCTTATCGCCGAGAGCGTCCTTTACAACCTCGGGCTGGCCAACGAAGAACCCTTCAAACTCCGAATCGACGACAAGGACGGGTACGTTGATCTTCTCAATAATATCCTTGAGAGTGTACTGCTTGAGCGATTCGAGCCATAGGTACGGGGAATGCTGTTTGAAGCACCATAGTCCGTGTCCTAGACCCCAACGCATCCCTGTAGGCACCTGTGGGCTATCCAAGAGTGGCAAAGTAGCCTCGTCAAATTCCTCTTGCCTGCCCGCAGCGAGAAGTTCCTTCAGGTCTGGGGTCAGCTGACCCGTGTATCCCTCGTAGACATCCCACACGCCGCCATTGAGAATAAGAGCCTTGATCCGAGGTTCAAACGCAGCGGCACGAGCAGCTAGATACCCACCCATTGAAACGCCAACAAGGACCAGCCGGTCTTCATCGATGAAGCAGCGTTTGCGATTCATCAACTCGTCGATCACTGGCGAAAGAACCTTCTCCCAATCAGGGATGAAACCAATGTCATCGTTGCGGCGAACCGTGGGCTGCCCTGGCCCTTCATAGGTCATAACATTCCAGCCACGGGCCAAGGCTGGTACGACGAACGAGTGGTAAGAATCTTCCTGGCTGGCATCGTATCCGTTGCCGATAACCAAGGTCGGCCGTGTGGCCCCGTCGGCTGCGGCTGTGTACCAGATTGCTTCAATGGTGAAGTTGTCGGTCGGGATCTGGATACGTTCGCCAGGAACCGGCAGTATAGCAAGCGCCTTGTCGAACGCAGCGCGTTGCTCGAGCCAGAAGCTATTGATACGAGGGTCCGTCCAGTTCGCATGGTTGTAGAAGTCGGCCTGACGGTAGTAGTTCGATGCGGCGAACCAGGCTTCCCGGACATTCAATAAATCGTACGCATTGTCTGCATCCTCGGCTTGTTTCTTGGTATATTCGGCCAACGTATGGAAGGTGTCAAGCCAACTGGTGACGTTCCCGGCCTTGATGTCTTTCGCTGCTGCCAAGACGTCGTTGACGTCGCCAGCCCCGAATATGGTGTTTCCTAGGGTGAAGAGTAGCTCGAAATGGAAGCTTTCATCCTCGCTCAAGAGGATGACGGGATCATCCAGCTTCTGCGACGAAGATAGTAGCCCAGAGTCGCGGGAGAGAATAGAATTTGAGGCTACGGTCGCCCCGAGGAGAACAGTGCTGAACAGTGAAATCGACTTCATGTTAAAAGGCACTCAAAAGTAAGTGGATGCTAGAGAAGATTGGGTAGAGTTGCTAATGACGGTATTGATCACGTTGCAATGTTCTCGGCATCGGATGCACTGCCTTTTATCTTCATTTTCTTGTTCTCACAATTTGTTCCAGCGAGAGCAACCCACAACCCAGCTTCACTTATATCATGTACTAGCCGTATCGCGCCTGTTTACGATTGGTGGGATGCGGTGATGGACGACTAAGACAAACAAGGCAATTTCTTTGCGATTGGTCGCCTTGTAATACTCTGCCCCTCTCTGGATTCAGCCACCCTACGGCTTTCGGAACTCCCGTCGCTCCATTGAAGCAACTGTCCAATGCTCCCCTCTTCCTCAACTCAATAATCTATGATTCGTTTGCTTAGGCTATCTAATTTTCGCACGACGGTATTTATAACTCAGTTCCTGGATGCGACGAATCGCAAACAGAATCGGCCGCGTGGCAACTCTCAGCCAGAAGCAACATCGGTCCTCGTGATCATTGCGCAGCAGACATGGTCAACCATGGCCCCTCAAAGGGCTGCTCGACATGTCGCAAACGACGCGTCAAATGCGACGAGGACAGGCCCAGCTGCCGTGAATGTCTCCGGCTACGACGGGTGTGTGGAGGTTACGAACCAGAGAAAAAGACACGCAGGATTCGGTTCGTGGACCGGGGCACTGGTCCAAGGCTCCTTTCGTCGACATCACGGCCCAGGAGCCCTCGCATGTTAACAACGCCAGAATGGACAAGGCAGGCTGTCATGCCAGCAACGATTACCCCCAGCGACGAATCATTCGCTGTCTGCTTCTTCCTCACCTCGATCGCAGGCTTGGGACGTAGTTTTCACTCGACCCAGGGCTTCCTAGAGCCTCTTTTCCCTGTCGTAGCCAAGGAGCACCCGGATTCTGTCCTCTCGACTATCTTGACCGCCGTGTCAACGAAGCTCTGGAGTTTGTTAAAGAACCCAACAAACAGCTATCGAACGCCTCATCCTCCGTTTACCAGGGCGTTGAGTCGCCTGCAAGCAGCTCTCAGTGATCCCCTCGAGCGGTCAAAGGACAGTACTGTCCTCGGCAGCATCTTGATGCATTTCTATGAGAGTCTCGCTGCTCGATCGACGCACCAGAATACCATGCGTGTTCACCAGGACGGGGCTCGTGCATTGCTCGAACATGGCACCGGGAGCGTCCCGGACTCGGATTGCCGTGCATACTTGAGGAGCTACCTGCGGCACTGTGATGTGTCGACATACATGGAAATGCAACCGGACGACACCTCGGACCTGGATGTTTGGTTCGATGCCGGGTGGGACGATTCTTTGCTAGCTAGCCCGAGTGCAGTCTTGGACCTGATCGGGCTCTCGATTGCAGATTTGCAGAAGAGACTATCCACCTTCATGTGCGGCCTGGCCAAGAATAATCTGGATGGTCTGGCCCTCGCGACTTGGTGGCAGGACGCTTCATCAGTTGATGCACAACTGTTGGATTGGGTTCAGTTGGTGCCGGCCTCATGGCAGCCTTATGCAAAGCTCGAAGAAGACACCTTTGCTTACTTTGGGTTCTGCGATATATACCCGACGGTCCAGATTGCCACGATCTGGAATGTATGGCGCGTTTGCCGGCTCATGGTCTTGCGGATGGGGCTCTATCTGCTTGCGAAAGCGCCCCCCGAGGCGCTGCAGCAAACTATCTCGATTGCTACCAAGGAATACAGTTTCACAGATCCCAATCGCGGCAGGGAGTTGGTGGACTCCATCTGCCGATCCGTGCCGTTCTACCTGGGCAACCGCCAGAATCATGGAGGCTTGCACGACTTAACGGACCCAGCGATCAGAATCCCCAACTACCACGACCAAGACTTGGACGAAGCCGTGCGTTCGCAGTATCTCCAAGGAGATCAGGCGATGAGTCTCCCAGATTACAAGAGGCATATACTGGTTCAGGGCCCTTCGCACGCACTGCTTCACTTGAACAGCCTGATTAGAGTGCTGTCAAGGGAGGGCGGAGAGCTCATCTGTCGTGGGCTGCGTGGGAACCAGGTCGTCTGGATACGGGAACAGTTTCTAAGGGTCTGCAAACTTACTGACCCGGTTAGTCGGTTTAAACGGTAGTGAATTATATCGTACCTTGCAATGAGACCAAAGCAAACTCCGGTATGCACCTACCCGTGATTTGCCTGACCACGTCTTGCCGTCGTGGGCAAGGTACGAGTATTATTGCTATGAGACCACCATTCAAAATTCACCTAACCCCGATTAGTGCGACTTACGAGGGAAAACTATAAGGGGATTAATTTAAAGTAGATTATACGTACTTGAATTAGGTAACGCCTTGTCGCTGCCGATAATTGTTATTACGCGCTATAATATTATAATATATAATAGTATATTGTCCTTATCTTCGTTTAGACTGCTAACTGCATCGAAACCTGGACAGGGTCCCCCAGAATAGGAACGTCCACAACTCACTCTCGTACGTCTCATTTTAGGAACGGGCCATGGGCCCACAGCTATAGCCGACATCAGGATAACTGCATAAGTCTCAGCCGCTATGCGGAGAAGCGGCACAGTAACTAACGTATCCAACTCCAAAGCTAAGTATTCACAGCCACAGGAGTGTAACGAAACTTAGATAGTAGAATTTCCCAAAGAGAACACCTTGCTAATGTAGAGTAGGTAGGGTCTCATCGGTGCAACGTGACGCTGACTAATCTTACACTATTCACTGCTTCATTACCATGGCATTATCAATGGCTGCCTGAAATGTGTAGCATGGCGATAGCAGCTCTTAAACCAATTCATATTAAGCGCCTTACGCATGTGGCTAGTATATCTAAAGCCAATGAGACTTCGCGCTACTGCAAAGATCTTCTCGGGCGCCAGCGTAGCGGCCGGGGCCGCACGGGACGTTCGCAGCTACTTTCGCCGGCACGCCGGGAGCTAGAATAGCCTACCTACTCAATACGAAAAACGCCATCTGTTGAAAATATTGCACACCCTCAGGGCTGAACCACAGTCAACTTGAGGCATTTTTGCCTCCTTGAGGTAGACTACTGTCTTTTCGTTGTTACGATGTGTCCAACGACCCTGTGATACCACAGGTCGACATCACAGGTTCCGAGTATAGTTGCGAAACAGCGTAAACTCTTGAGCCATGACACCGGCAAGTATTACGGTTGCTAAAAGGTCAACGTGAGGTTTCTCTAAACTATTGAAGCACGTTTTCTCGAGATTTGGGAGAGCGCCGAAGTAGTGATTGACATCGAATCAGCGTGATAGTGCTTGACAGCGTTATGATCTGCCGCTAGCTTTCATCACATGTACCATGACCTTGTAATCCGTGTAAATGAGACTACTGCCAGCGTCGCGCTCCCAAACAAACCCGTCCTGATCCAGCTGCTGAAAATCATATGTCCAAAGCAATTTTCCAACAATGAGTCGGATGCTCTGCTGCGCCATCTCCCTGCCGATACATGCCCTGCTTCCAATAAGGAAAGGACGATACGCGGTCCTGTTGTCCCCCTTGAACTCAGTATCTTCCACACTATCGAGCCATCTCTCAGGGCGGAAGGTGGCGGGATCTGCGAAGTACTCCGGTGACCTTTGGATCGTGTAAAGATCAGCGGATACTGTGGTACCGGCAGGGATGTGCACCCCATCTATGGTGCATGAGGGAGCAGTACGCTGCGCCGTTTTGCCGTTTGCGGGTGGAAGCAACCTCAGGGTCTCCCGGATACAGGCGTTCAGGAATGGCAGCCTACCGAGGCGCGCTCCTGTGATTTCTTCGTCACTGGCAAAGGTCGAGCGGATCTCGAAGCAAACTCTGTTATACGCCTCAGGATAGCGCAAGATGTGGTAGAAAGTGGCGGCCAGTGTCGTAGCTGTTGTCTGGTATCCGGCCAGGCTACGGTATTTCTAAGCAAAAGTCGTATTGAGGAAATTCGGTTGTACATACGTCAGGCCCATGGCATTACTGAAGAATGCATCCGCGTCGAGCGTCAGGTCTTGCTTCTCGCTGCCCATGATAGCGGTCAGGAAGTCTTCTCTTCCGTCTTGCCTTTCGGCGCAGCTGTTCAAAACTCATATCAGATTACTGGAATGATCAAGAGGTTTGCAGAAATACTCACTCACGCAACTTCGAAGATGGCACAAGCTTGGAGAGTTGCGACGGAAACGGCAATGATGTGATGAGGCTTCTAGCAATTCCAAGTACTGAAGCAATCCCAGGAAGGGCAAGAAAAAAGCTCAAGGCTTCGACCATAGGCATCGTTGATTTGCCAAGCTGCTTCAATGACTCGTATGTGGCTGGGACGCTTTTTTAGCATTATTTCTGCCGGCATATCCACGGTACCGCTTTCAACTTACGGCGCTTTCCAGACATGAGAGGTTCACCGAAAGCAAGATCACCAATGATCTCCCAGAACATCGTCTCCAATGTGTCAGCGATGTCCACGGTACCGCCGCTCTTGGCGAGTTCTTCAAATTCGGACATGGCCATATCAATATGCAGCTTCTGGATGGGTTCCTGCCTTGCAAGCGCTTGAGAGGTGAAGGCTTGCTGGATCACCTTGTGCAATTTCCTGTGAAGTACAGGGTCAGGTATGGTGATGAGGGTCGGAGCGTTCAATACGAGGTCCGAGAAAAGCGTCAAGAAGGTCCCATCCTTGGAAAAGCGACCGTCCTCTTGTTTCGCGTAAATTGCTGTTTCCGCTTCAAGTGAAGCAAATGAGACTTCGTTGGGTCCGACTCGCACGACATGTCCTGAAATAGACGAATCATGTCAGTCAAACAGCTTTGGTCGTTGATGCTGAGGCTCTTACCGTATTGTTGATGTAGAGCTTGCAGTTCCGAGTTGAACCGCATGCGGTGCAGAGCCCTCATAATCCATAGCTGTTCTCATAATTCATGTTTAATCGTCACTCGCGCACACATTGAGAGAAGAGACCAACCGGAGAGAATTTGGCCAGAAATGGGCCAGGAATGTGGCGGAGAGGATGCAAGAAGCAGCCATGAATAATGACTGACACGAGGACCAGCGCCAACTGGAAGAGAAAGAAGTGTCAGAACAGTGGCCATTTTGATCGCTTCCACAGAGTGTGACATACGATAACCAATGCAAGGCTCAATTGCAGTCCAGAATTCCAGGTCGACAATGGTGAAGTGAAGGCCATGGTGTAGGTCCGTGATTGTCGTCAGTGCGGAAGCAAGACCAGATGGAGTTGGGCTGGGATGGAACGTCAGTTCTTGAGATCGATCTCAAAACCCGTGCGTACGGTTGATCTTTGCGAGCCTCTCCCGGAACCTCGGCTCTTGAAATGCTAGATAGTGACATATTGAAAGCTAACAGGGGGACTGGGAATAAAATTCTGGGACACCGATTCACGGCGGAGCAATATCAGAGGCTACCGAAGCAAGGCGGGCCTCCAGATTCCTTTTTTTCTACCACCCCCTCCCTTTGCAGGCCTTGAATCCTTTGCCCAAGCCCTAAACTAGCGCTTACGAGCGGTGTTTAAACATACGGAACTAGATAGGTGCAAACTTTCCCATGTTTCTGCTCACCTTCCAGAAAATGACGAAATCAGGGTCCACTACACAGAGTCGCGGATCTCTATTGGCACGCGTCTTCACGCTTCGAATATATGGGACACACCCCTGCCAGCCCTTATCACGTAAGCGCCAGAAGTCTGCATGTATGTACTGAGTAAGTTTACGTAGCATTGAAGTCCCAGACCCCTACCTCCACTACGAAGTCAACTACCCTGCATTGCGATGGTGATGGTGTCTCGTTATCGGCCAAGCCTACCGAGACCTGAACCGCCCACATGTAAGGCCCAGAACGTGGGCTTATCTCAGCCTATTCGGGAGCAGCTGTTGATTCGGCAGACAATTATTTACGAAGTCGAGTAAGGTAACAGGAAAATGCAAGTATCTAAACTCGAAGGAAGAACAACAAGGTGGTTGACTCTGCTACCCACATATAGTCATTCCATCTTTGGAGACGGGTAACTGAACTTTCCCAAAGCATTTTATCCTGATTTTACCAATTATGGATCCGTTACTGTATCGATCGAGACTCGTACCGGCGGAGGAAGCTCGTGAGACGGGTTGCTTTACAACCCTTCCGATCCGAGTTCATCCACGGGACGACCTCGCTGATGCAGCCAGCCGGCGGTTCGTCGCGGACTGGGCCAGGGAAATGGGAGATGGCCGAGAGAAGAAGACTTACTTCTCTTTTTCGCCTGTTGGCAACTGGTCTTCTCTCATTTACCCTGAAGCCATTCCCGAGCGTCTGGGAGTTTTGGCATATCTTTCGGATTTGGGCTTGATTCATGACGGTAAGTTTTACCTCCCAGATTCCTGTCCGTAGTATGAATCCTGACAAACTTTGAGATACTGGTGAGGGCCTCAGCATCGAGGAAGCCCAAGCCGAGCACGATGAACTCCATGCTGCCTTGGACCCAGAGGACAAGACCAGTCTGGATCCTGACTCAAGGGCAATGAAGACCAAGAAGCTCGTTTCACAGTGCATGCTTGAGTGTATCAACCTTGATCATGAGCTTGGGTTGAATATGCTCGCTGCCTTTCGTGATGTCTGGCTTGCTATCAGCGAGAAGAACAGCGACAAGGAGGCACAGACATTAGAAGAATATCTCCAATACCGCAGTGATAACGGCGGCATGCTGTAAGCAAACCCTCTCCGCATCTCCGAACTCAAACCTAATCAGCTCCTAGAGTTTTCTGGCCAATGCTACAATTCAGCTTGGGAATATCTCTCTCAGAAGCGGAGCACGAGCTCGTGCAGCCCATCATTGACGCGGCCACGGAAGGTCTTTTATTGGCGAATGACTACTTCAGCTGGGAGCGCGAGCTGAGAGAACTCCAGTCTGGTCAGTCCAAGAGGATTGTGAGCGCCGTGGAGCTATTCGCCCGAACAATGGGACTTTCAGTTGAGGATGCGAAGGAGGCGGTCAAATCCAGGATCATCAAGTCAGAAAGTGATTTCTGTCAACGCCGCGATGATCTCTACAAAGCTCAACCCAACATATCATCGAAGTTGAGAAGATGGATTGATTGTGCTGGCCTAGCGGTCTCAGGAAACCACTATTGGTGCTCTGCCTGTCCGAGACAAAACGCATGGAAGGACGAAACAGTTTCAAATGGCCAAAACGGCCATGGTCTTGATCACATTCACAACGGACACGGGTTCAAGACTGTGCCCAGCACCAATGAAACTGCTACCAATTTTCAAAGCAACGATATCAAGATTCTCTCTAACGGAAACGGTGCCAAAACCGTGGTCAATGGCAACGGAGTCAAAAGAAAACTCTCACAGTACGGAATGGCAAGTCCAGAACAAGAGCCATTTGATCAGAAAAAGAGAAGCATGGACACAGATGTTTTGTGTCAAAAACACGATATTCAAATGGTCTCCCATTACCCCCATTACAAACCGTCCAATCTGGCCATGGATGCGCCGGCAGCCTACATTTCAGGGATGCCTTCCAAAGGTGTTCGCGGCACCCTGATTGATGCCCTCAACACCTGGCTACACGTGCCTTCAGCAGCGATCAAGACAATCACGTCAGTTGTAAACCTGTTGCACAATGCATCACTCATTTTGGACGACCTGGAAGACAACTCTCCACTCAGGCGGGGGTTCCCATCAGCCCACGTCATCTTCGGCCAAGCCCAGTCTATCAACAGCGCAAACTTCATGTTCGTCAGAGCAGTACAGGAAGTAGCTCAGAATCTCAGTCCAGCTGCACTGACAGCAGTGCTTGAAGAGCTTGAAGGCCTCTACCTCGGGCAAAGCTGGGACCTGTACTGGAAGTTCAACCTGGCATGCCCTACCGAGGCCGAGTACGTCAACATGATTGACCATAAGACCGGCGGCATGTTCAGGATGCTGCTACGGGTCATGCAGGCCGAGAGCACAGCTACGGAGACACCAGGCCTCGACTTCGAGCGGTTGACTCTGCTCTTCGGGCGCTTCTTTCAGATTCGGGACGACTACATGAACTTCGGAGACTACGTGGCCCAAAAGGGTCTCTGCGAGGACCTGGACGAGGGCAAGTTTTCGTACCCCATCGTCTACTGCCTCGCCAACCACCCGGAATATCGTGGGCACATTCTTGGCGTGTTCAGGCAGCGACCGACGGTGGCCACGACTACCGCTTCTCCGCTTTCCAAGGAGAGCAAGGCGCATCTGGTGAGCTGCTTACGCAAATGTGGAGCGTTCGAGAAGACGCTCGACTGCTTGCGGGACATGGAGCGGGAGCTGGAGTCGGAAATCGACCGACTGGAGCGTTTGACGGGAGACACCAACCCCATGCTCCGCCTGTGCCTTGCAAAGCTAAGCACAAAGGGAATTGCCACGTTGGGATAGACGAGTTGGATGGATCGCGGATTTGTGACACATGCTGTGTAACGACCCCTCTCTGGTCATCTTCTTAGTGTGGGATGTCAATACAACATTGATTTAGCGCTTACCGCATATGTCTTTCGTTATCCTACTAAGGAACAGCATCCTATCTTTCGTTCCAGACAGTATTGTTTCGACGTGGCCTGTGAACGCCATCATGCTTAGCTCGCAGGATAAGCCCGCAAACGGGTCTCGTGAATATACCACCGTCATTGTACCCATTTGTGCGGCGAAGGATGCGCTAAGTTCAGAATCCTTCAGGGATCGGGCCGTTGGAGAAAGGACTACTGCACGTTAGATCCTAAATGACACCCATCTGCATCGCGTGTAAAGCGGTGATATTCTCCCACCCCTGCAGGGTTACACCCGGGGCGGGCCCGACTCCCGCTCAACCTCAATGGGCACTCTCGCTTGATAGGGCGAGACCGGTCTTTCCAAAAGAATGCAACTGGGACTCATGGGACGAACACATGTGGCAAAGGGCGTGAAGCTTACATGCAGGTGAGCAATCAAGTCCGGTGTCTAGAGGAGAGAGCGTCATGTCCAGTCTTCGAAATGCATCTGCTAGGATCTAGACGGGGCGGCTTTCGACCATGACTTATTCTTACCTACTTAAGCCTGAGAATCGTGGGCTAGAATAATGGGCAAGTAATTAGAAGCAGATTCTTCTTGGAAGAAGCAGGCAGCCAGATTCCGATATTACGCCCACATTCCAGCTAATATCATTGGCTCAACTATCGTCATTCTCCGGTATTCAGAATCCCTGGTTTTGCCGCGTCAGACCAGACGATGATGCGCCTATCATCGACCTTGACTTGGACCTGCGTCCTCCTTGCTCCCCTTGTGGCGAGTAAAGGCCTCATAGCAGACTACGATTCGTGCCAGAGTGCGGTACGTACAGCTCCATCGTCAAGAAATTCAGTGACACCCCCCTGACACCGATAGTGCGTCTCGCTATCTAGGCAGCTATCCGTCGAGTCGGCTGGCGACTACATTGCAGAGTTCAAGCAGCAGCCTATCACTGGAGCGGGAGTGGACGTCGAGTCTCTGTACTGGTCGCAGCAGCAACAGGCCGTCCGGCCGGCCTGCCTCGTCCACGCCCGTGGGGCCCAGGATGTCGCACTCGTGGTGCAGACGTCGCGCTCCACGGGGTGCCCCTTCGCCGTCCGCGGGGGCGGCCACTCGGACATTCCCGGATTCAGTAACAGTCACGGTGGGATCACGGTCAACATGGCCGGCTTAGGCGATGTCAAAGTGGACGCGAGTGCCGGCGTAGCTCGGATAGGAGCGGGCGCAAAGTGGGGGGCGGTCTTCAAGGAGCTTGATAAGATGAACAAGACTGTTGTTGGGGGTCGACTTACAGGGGTTGGTGTTGGAGGATTGCTTCTGGGCGGTGGGCTTAGCCACTTGTCTGGATTACATGGGTTGGCGTGCGACAACGTTCGCAACTACGAGGTAAGTCGAGACCGCAACCGAAATGCGAGACTCCACGTTTGCCACACGAGAGGCTGACGTGATACCAGCTTGTCCTTGCCAATGGCAGCATCTTCGACGTCTCGTACTCCACCCACCCGGATCTCTACCGAGCGCTTCGCGGTGGTGGCAACAACTTTGGGGTCGTGACCCGTTTCGATCTGGATTTGTATGATCAAGGCCCCATGTGGGGAGGCCTGCACGTCTGGCCGTTGCTACCATCCGTGACATCGGCCATCACGTCAGCCTTCGTAGATTTCGGACACGACGCCCCGTCAGACAAGCATGTCTCATTGTTTGCGGGCCTTGGGTTCATGCAGGGTAACTTCGCCTGGGCCGTGGGGCAGTATGACACCCTCGGAAGAGAGGAACCTACTATCTTTTCCAAGTTCAGAGACGATGCCGAGACGTATGGGGCTCCCAAGGTTGTCAAGACGGCAAGGGTCACGTCACTATCGGACCTTGCTGAAGAGCTGAATCTTTCAGAGCCCGCGGGCATGCGGAGCCGGTTCACGACAGCCACCTTTAGGATGGATGTGGATCTGCTTCAGCTGATGGCTGGCTACTTTGTGGAAGAAGTTGAAAGGGCTCTGGAGAATGGCTTACGTGAAGACGAACGCTTTGCGCCAATGCTGGGCATCCAACCCCTGACGAAGAACATTATCGGGGCACAATCCAAGCGCGGAGGAAATGTGATGGGTCTCGATGAAAAGTCTGGACCGCTCATCGGTAAGTTTGATCTCTTTTACCATAATGGAGATGTTACTTGTAGGCTGATGCATGTGACTTCCAGTCTGTTCTTTTGGCTGGGAATGGTCTCGTGAGACAGATGATGCTGTCGTGATTGCCGGCATCAAGAGCGTTCTGAAGAAATCCGTAGCCACGGCGAAGGAAAAGGGCTTGTATCATCCTTTCAAGTACATGAACTATGCTGCGGAAGACCAGGATCCTGTCGCAAGCTATGGAGCTGAAAACGTTGAGTTCTTGAAAAAGGTCAGACACACCTACGACAGCGACGGATTGTTCACGGACCTAGTGCCTGGTGGCCACAAGATCAAATGATGATTTTCGGGGGCTAGAATCATTGCATATAGTCTATGAATATTACAAAAACCCTCATATCTACAATAATACACTAGATTGCCCAGTTATGAATGCGGTCAACCAGATTCAACCCTTCTTTTCGACCATGGTGTTCAGCATATAATAAGTGGGTGAAATTGGCAGCGCCGGAAAAGCGGTCACAAGTCCAGGTGCAACTAAATCGTCCACAAATCCTGTACCGAGTATGGTCAAAGCAAGGAAAGTCCACACAAGTCCAATAACACGCCACCAGGATCCACGCCATCCGAGTTTCTTCTGAGCAAAACGAATGGCCAAATCTTCCAAGAGCAGAATGTTGGGCATTAATAGGAAAAAGATGAGGGTTCTTGTGAAAGACTCGGATGGAGCTGCCATTTTTGCTGCCGCCCAGTGGTACAGTCCAGACAAGGCGAATGCAAAGTACGATTGGGTTTGCCGACTGAGCATAGATCCTCTAGGTGCTCTGACGACTCTCCTGGCCACGGCTCTGCTAGGAATCTGCAGCCCCCTGCGAAAGTTCTGGTGCCACGTGCGATTCCAGAATCTGCTCAGGGTGTAGCACTGAACCCAAGGTCCGTTTACCGGGTGGACGTCTTCGATGCGCGTCCAAAAAAGCCCGGACGACACTCCAATCATGCAAGCGACGTGATAACCGATATCCATAACGGCAATTGACGAGGCCCACCAGCAGGCTGTAGCGATGCAACGGGGGACGAAGTTTAACTCAAGGACACCCATTTTCCCATCATGACTCAGCCATAGAAGAAGACCGGCGGCAACATCATGGCTCACGTATTGCTGCAGTATTCTTTGCATCGATAGCCTAAGGAAGGCGATCTTGGAGGTGCCTGGAGCAGGAGCTGGAGGTAGAGGTGCAGTCCGCCAGTTCCATCCAATACCTCTGGTGGAAAAGGCATTGTCAAAACACCATCTAATCCGGTCCCATGCACCGAGAGTGTGGAAAGGCTGTTGGGGTTTCTTCCCATCGCTTGTGGGTTGTGTCCACTTGTGCTCCAAGTAAGGGTCTTCGAGCACAAGAAGATTGAAGTTGATCAACGCGACGTAAAAGACTACGAGACGATGCTGTTAGAATGACAACTTGATGTAACGTTTTGTTTGGTGCCAAACCTGTTCCAAAGGTGTAATTCTTTGCAATATTCGGGCCAAAGGGAAAAGCAAAAGCCACAAGCAGACAAACCCCCACGAAAGGAAGCAAAAGGATCCAGCGCAAGTGTCTCGGAGTTTTGGAGCCTAACAAGACCAGAATAGGAGTAGTGAGCCATATGGCACCAACGAAATCGGCACGTTCCAGAGGCATTGCGACGGGCGTGAACAATGTGACAAGCTGCCTAAGTTGACAGTACGGTACAGGTGTAATGTTTGATGGTATCTGAGAACATAATTGTGGCTATCTGACTTTGGACAATTATCCTTCACGTTCTAAGGAAAGAATTCAGCCCAGTCTCCCTGGCCAGCCGGTGCGCTTCCTACTCGGTATCTCGGCAACTAGTTTTATCGATTCTCAGCTTGGATACGGGGCATCTGACATGCCGAGAGATGCAGGCCAAAGCCAAACGTACGATGTCATTACCTGACGCAGATTAGCTGCTGCCTGTAGGTTACATGAGACGACGTTGAAAAGGCACTACGACCCTCGGCGGAAGAATTCTGGGCAAGACGGCACCAATAGCGCGGGCCGCCCGCACTATTGGCACGCCTGCCTGATCGGGGCATGCGACAATGCAACGCCGACAACGCAGGCCCACCCCGTCGGCGGGATCCACAAAACCGAATCCTTCCGTTTGGGATTGTGGAGCAGACGGATCGGCCCAGCCCACCGAATCCACCTGCAGATGCTCCCCCCCCCCGCCCCCCCACACAACCAACGCAAGGCTCCATTTTACTTCGCAAACACCTCAGTGCCGTGTAAGCAACATCTCCATAAACTCCATACACCTTGCTTTACCTTTGATAGCTTTGCGTTAGGGCTTACTCAGGGCTCAGTTGCAGCTCTGGCAGCAAGCCCCGGCCCCTTATCGGGCGGTTAGGGTCAGTTACCGACGAATCCGAGGTCCTGTAATCGGTGCTGACGAGCAGTCTCTCCATTATCAACGCCTGTGTACAAGGTTAAACTCCCATTTTTTGACTGGTCAGATTTCTACGCAACCTTGGCCCTGGCTCATGTGAGACAATACTAGGCTGCATGCTTCGACTTGCTGTGGGATTTTGATCCCAGCATTCAAGTTCAACACGTGAACGGCTCAAGACGAGCTCGCCATCATTTCGAGACGACTTGTTGTTGAGCGACAAAACCTTGCAGCATGTCACCGTGGCTAGATACCATATCCGTTCCATAGGGCTCCCCAGCTACTCTTTGTCTCTTCTGAAGAACGAAGATTGAGCCAACATGTCTATATTCGTCGTTCCTGTCGAGACGACCAGGCCATTGCTGGTGCTGGCGGCAGCGGCTCTCATCGTGTTCCCTATCATCTACTTTCTCTACCTTACTGTTTATCGCCTTTTCCTCAGCCCAATCTCTCAGTTTCCAGGCCCAAAGCTAGCAGCATGGACATACTGGTATGAATTCTGGTACGATGTAGTTGCCGAGCCCGAGTACACCTTCAAAATCGGTAGATTGCACAAGCAATATGGTCAGTGTTCAAGTTTTCCAACATGAAAAGCGAGGGAGTCAAACTGAACTAATATCCGACCAGGCCCTATAGTCCGTATCAACCCAGACGAGATTCACATCGCGGATCCGGACTTCTACAACACCATCTACGCTGGCAGCGGACGCAAGCGTGACAAATGGGACTGGATCACACGGTCTTTCGGCGTCGATGAGAGCTTGATCGGCACTCTTGGCCATGATGAGCACCGCATCCGTCGGGCGGCGCTGTCGCCGTATTTCTCCAAGCAAAGCGTCCGCGCCCTGCAACCACTGGTGGACCGGAATATGGGAATCCTCCTCGGACGCTTCCGCGAGTTTGCCCAGTCCGGAGCTCCTCTTAAGCTTGATGATGCCTACGCTGCACTCACCAACGGTCAGAAGCCTCAACTAAATGTCGAGAATGTATTTGCCCACTAAGACCAGATCTTCAGATATCGTCGAGGACTATGCTTTTGGAAAAAGCGAGAACCGACTCCAGGCTGCGGACTTTGATCCATCATTCAGAGATGCCATGCTTCAAGGCGGCAAAGCCGGCCATGTCCTAAAGCACTTTCCCTCGCTGATGGACATGCTGCGCAAGCTGCCCGACTCCCTGCTGCTCAAGCTGAGCCCGGCCATGGGCGCCTACTCCCAGCTCCAGACCAGTGTGAAGAAACAGGTGGCCGACATTACACAAGCACACCAAATGCACGCGTACGACAAGACGCGCCGCACCATCTTCCACGAGATTCTGAACAGCAAGCTCTCCGACTACGACAAGTCCACGGACCGGCTCTGGCAGGAGGGCGAAGTCGTCGTCGCGGCGGGTACGATCACCACAGCCTGGGCGCTCGGCGTCTCGACGTACTTCGTCCTTGCCACGCCCGATATACTCTCGCGGCTCAAAGCCGAGCTCGAGGCCGCGATCCTCGATCCATCGCAGCCCCTCAGCTTGCTGGTACTCGAGCGTCTTCCCTTCCTTACGGGCGTGGTGCAGGAGGGTGTCCGTCTCAGCCATGCCATCTCGCACCGGCTGCACCGCATCTGTCCGGACGAGACGCTCGTATACCGCGCCGGCGATCGCGAATGGCGTATCCCCCCCGGTACTCCCCTCAGTATGACCAGCAACCTGGTGCACCACGACGAGCGCGTCTTCCCCGACTCTCACACCTTCAAGCCTGAGCGCTGGGTCAACGACCCCCTGCTGGACCGCTATCTAGTGTCCTTCGGTAAGGGTGGTAGAGCTTGTCTGGGTATCAATCTGGCATATGCGGAGCTCTACCTCACGCTGGCGGCACTTTTCAGGGTTTACGGGACGGAGGAAGTTCAAGGGAAAGATGACGTCGGAACCCTGAAGCTCTTTGAGACGACCGCTGCTGATCTCGTTATCACGAGCGATACTGTGGTTCCAGTGATGCCGGAGGATTCCAAGGGGTTGAGGGTGACAGTACATCAGCGACCCGACTAGGTGGCAGCGGCCTCTTGGATTCTTAGTTCTATAGTCGTGACAGGGTATCAGTATTATAATTCCTTGACCTATCGAAAACAAGTAAAAGATTAGCCAAAATAACAAGTATTATGATTCTTTTATTTATTCATAGCGAGTGAAAAACTCCTAATCTTTCTCGGGCGAATGCAACCCGTGATATCAAAAGTGCATCAAGAAGATGGTGACCAAACACTCACCTAACTCTGTTTCTTGGCTTGCATAGCTCACTTCCAGGCCTGACAAAAATATCATATCGGGTAGACTTGAGACAGGCGTAAATCAATATCAACGACACAAGACTCTCGGTACCCTACATGTGCCGGTCGCATCAAACAATCAAGTCATCTTTCCGCGAGTCTAGGCCTATTAATAGGGCGGGAGACAACTTCACAAGGACGAAGGATGCTACAGAAGCAGAAGGAGAGAAAGATGCCAAAACCGGAGCTGCTCTGGCGATCGATTTCAAGGACGACATGACTTTCCTGAACGAGAACAAGACTACTATCTCCGTCAGTTACAGAGGCGGTGGCCAAAATCTCAAGCATCGTAAGTTCTGGCCCGGACATCGTAACTAAGGCATAATGAATGACAACATGTCTAGCTGGCGAGGACTAGAAATTCGAGTCCATGCGCAAAGCCGCTTTCCAAATCCTTCACCTTGTTGTCAAGACTCATATGCGTACCCATGCCATCTTCACCAAGTCCACAGCTCTACGCAGTTATGACGCTCATTTTGGGGGACTCAAGATGCCCTCTTTCGAGATGGCTAGTGTCTACTCTACTATTCTCCAAGAAGCGTACCTCGACTTCAAGACCATCGCTTGAGACATGCAAGTCTTG